TAGATATTTTATTTATCAAATCCAACAATATCCTTTACAAACAAAAACATGTAAATTTTTTTACCTTTTATATAGGTTATTAAATTAAAAAAAATCACAAAAAAATAAATTTAATAAAAAGAAGCATAAAATGAACAAAAAAAAGATGATGTGAGAAAATTAACTAAAGCATGATTTAGGTTTTTAGGGCTGTTAAATCCAACAAATCTAATTGGAGAAATATAGAATTTAAAAGTTTTTATATGCTTTCATAGCTTTTAAAGCCAATTTACCAATCACCTCTAATGCAATTGAAACAATTTGTGTTGGACAAAGTAACGTTCCTAGCCAAGACTCTCGATAGAAAACTTACTCCATCACAAATTGTAAATTCAGTAAAATAGCAATGAATTGATGTAAAAGATAAAAATCACAATAAAACGATAAATAGAGTAAGACAAAAAATACAATCAAACATCAATTATTCTCTCCTTATGATTAAAGTTCCAATGAAATAAACAAAAGATGCATTCTAATACCTCTATTGAAATTGATGGTGTATATGTCTCGATAGACCAAAGCATACTATAACTTGAACGATCAATAGATTTTTACAGATGTATTTGATGCAAAAAAGATGACCAACCATTTTTATTTAAGAAACCGTAGTTAATATTGATTCAAATATAAAAATTAAAATAGCAATGAATTGATGTAAAAGATAAAAATCACAATAAAACGATAAATAGAGTAAGACAAAAAATACAATCAAGCATCAATTATTCTCTCCTTATGATTAAAGTTCCAATGAAATAAACAAAAGATGCATTCTAATACCTCTATTGAAATTGATGGTGTATATGTCTCGATAGACCAAAGCATACTATAACTTGAACGATCAATAGATTTTTACAGATGTATTTGATGCAAAAAAGATGACCAACCATTTTTATTTAAGAAACCGTAGTTAATATTGATTCAAATATAAAAATTAAAATAGCAATGAATTGATGTAAAAGATAAAAATCACAATAAAACGATAAATAGAGTAAGACAAAAAATACAATCAAGCATCAATTATTCTCTCCTTATGATTAAAGTTCCAATGAAATAAACAAAAGATGCATTCTAATACCTCTATTGAAATTGATGGTGTATATGTCTCGATAGACCAAAGCATACTATAACTTGAACGATCAATAGATTTTTACAGATGTATTTGATGCAAAAAAGATGACCAACCATTTTTATTTAAGAAACCGTAGTTAATATTGATTCAAATATAAAAATTAAAGATTTGTCCCAAAGAAGAAATCTTCCATATTCTATAAATTTTACTAATGAAAGGTCTATTTTTT